CACCGAACCAGACGCCCTCTGAATGAATGATAAACAGGTCTCATATAATACAAAGACTGTTCATTTCAATGAACAGTTTTACATTTGTCTGTGTGTGTGTGTGTATAGCAGGCAGTCACCAGTTTAAATCAATTCCTATGCTTGGGGCTGTTACACAGAGTCCATCATGACCGTGATGTGGAAGCATAAATTCACCTAAAGGTGAACCAAAAGGTATTCCCTTGCAGCAACTGTACTGTTGGTAATTTGACTCAGAGCAGTTAATGCTTTTTTCTCCTATTTGTGGATCAATACCCATCAATACATCATAGTGTGTGTCCAGCAGTGTAGCTGTGCTCGCCTGTAAATGTCACACATCTTGGTCAGAGGCTCTGAATCTAATTAAGAAAAACCCTGGTAACTATGGCAATAAGCATCCCCACCGACCCCCAATGCAACTTATGTTAAAAAGGCCAGAAGGTTGCTATGACAACAGGAATGAAAACAAGATAGAGAGATAGACGAAGTTGAAGATGCTTTCTTGAAGCATTTTGTCATTATCATTCTGTGATCAAGGCACATGTTCTCACACACTGTAACAGAGCCACAGCCTGACTGGAGCTTGGAAGATTCTAATCACATCGTTGTTAACTGGCCGTAATATCTGCGTTACTTTAGGATTCCAGCACTCACTTCTGGATCGAGCTTATTCATCAGTGCATCTCTTAACAACAGTCCATTAAGGCGAATGTCTTTTACATGACTTGATCAGTGCTCCTTTCATGGTATGTGGCAGTGTAATTTCTTTTAATCTAAACTTTATCAGAAGTCTTTGTATTCCTTTCACCCCATCTGTTCCTGAACATCCAACAAGCTTGCTGCTATCTGTGTAGGTGATAATTAAGAGATAAAAGAGTGAGAGAAATTAGTTCAGACATATTTAATAATATTCTGCCTGTTAAAAAAAATCAATTTCTGTGAAACATACCAATTGTAAACAACTTATGTTGCTAATTTTGAAGGAGCTGAGAGCACACAAACACACACGTACAACATTCAGAGTGTGATCATTTAAAATCATAGCAGTTGGAAAAGAAATCTGTCTCCAAATATATAAAGCTGAGACAAATAAATAACTATCCATCTTTGCATTCTCTATTCACAATAAATCCAATTCGGGTGTCTTGAGGGTAATAATTATGAAACATAACTATTGTGGCATAAGTGAATTAATTTGGTAAATGGTTGGGAAAAGATTGTGTGTTTCAGTCTAAACCAAAAGACAGGGTCCACCTCTGTAACATTATTAGCATTTACTGTTTTCTACTGCACTCATTTATGGGCACTTTTTTTTTTTTAAACACCCTCCTCCATCCATTGAACAAGTCCATAAGATAATTTTCTGATGTCACAAGACATATCGTGAACAAAATCAGCCATCAGTGTTAAAGCAGTAGCACCTTGCTTCCAGTGGAGTGGTTTTCCCTGAGGCCAGGCGCTCTGAAAGTGCAGGGCTGTGCTTGCCTGACAACACGGGTAGCTCCCACAGCCTGCATCAGTTTTTTAAACAGGATTATTAAATGGCTACAGCTTTTAACTCAACAATGGTCAGACACATGTGAAAAGCTTTTGTGCGCTTAAAAGCTTTGAGCATAATGTCAGTATAATGTCACCCTTTGTGAAAGGATGAGGCTACATAAACGGCAATTATGAATAAGCTGTTCCTGAGTTGTGTAAGTCAATGTCACAAAAAAAGTCACAGAGCTCCAGTCTGCGCCCTTCTTCTTTTCTAAGAAGCAGCATGGGGAATCAATCAAAGCTGCACCTCAAAAGCAAGAGACTTGCAAACTAATGTTCACTGAAGATGACATTTTAAAGGGAAGAAAGGACCTGATAAAACTAGAAATGGAGTGAAAATGGACACCAGAATGTAAATAGTTAAAGAAGAAAGACAGCATTTCAAACGAGGCCATCAGGAGAATAACACCATAAATCAAACCTTAGACAAGCAAAATATAATCTGAACACATAAGACTTTGAAAATAATGTGCTTTAAACCAATGGGATGTAGAGAAGAGGGATTGTTTGGTCACCATGCACCAGACCAAGCATAGTGTTTCAGAGCACCTCATTCCAACTGTCAGAAAAATGTCGGTGTGTTCCGAAGCTGCAGGGTTTGGGCCCCATGCATTGAGTCATTCAGTTCGCCATGAACTTCTCTTTATAACTTACTTTGTAAATTGTACTTTTTTATTTTCCAACTTTCCCATTAATTCTACAGCCCAGCTGTGAGAGAGCGACTGAGAAAGTTCACATGGTTTCATCTTATGTACAATCGATGAATAAGCATCAACCATTCCGGCAGTATACACCCACACATCACACCGTACGATTTCAGACAAACAGAAAGTTACACTCCACCACAAACAGTGCTGTTGTGAGAGGGGCATGGACTGTTCAAGTGTTCAGCGTTCGGATTAACTCCAGGGACAGATTCTTTTCACTTTATTTAACTTTTTTTAGAAAGGTGTTTTTCTTCTTTGTCAAGTCCTTATGTAACAGCTTGCTGTACTGAAACGTGTTTTTTAATCAAATCAATGGAAGTGTGTGTCAGCTTGGTAAAGGAAGAAATATTGGTGCTGTACAGAACATCTAAACAATCTTTTCATGCAATGGTGCTTGTCCTAGATAACAGGAAGTTTGCAATGTGCCCTCCTGGGTATCAGTGGAGCAATTTGATGGAAACATTCAGCCGGAGTTCCAGCTGCTCTGAGGACTATTTCCAAGTGATTTTAAACTACATTTACACTTCCTTTTCCTGCAGGAGTTAGTTAAATATTTAATCAATCTTGTCTAATGAATAATTAAGACTTGTGGTTTTTGTTTTCTATTTTTGCATTTCTAATTCTGTTTGTCTCCTCACTCAACTGATTTAATTGGATATCACATATTTAATAAAAGCTAATGTAAAAACACATTAGGCCACACGGAAAACTCTCCTATTCTATTTTTTAACTTCAAAGGAGCTCTGTCTCTCATAAGCCTCCACAAACACAATAAAACCTGGGTGGTGATTTATCAGCCAGCCAACACACACAGACACACTTACACACACACACAGCTCTAAACAGTGCCCACCTACTCTAGGTAATCAGTTCTTTGAAAATAAGGCAAAAACTAACAAAGTAGGTCGACAAACACCATACAGAGCAATGTGTGTCACTTCACACCTCTCAAAAAAGTAAGCCTGCTGTCACCTGATCAAACACATGCACAAGAAAGCCAATCAATTGAATTGATCTTTATAAGAGCATCACTCAATTAGCCAGCAAGCCTCACAGTGGAGAGTCCAATAAGTCTTCTGATTTGCTTACCTGTAGACAGCTTTCTCCACCATGAGGGAAGACCCCAGGTGCCAGAGTACAACCCCATGAAAGACAACCAGTAGGGGTTTACCGTTGTTTCCCGTTTTGGAAACAATGATGGAAACAAAGATGGAAAGTAATGTGACTGTTCTTTGCACATGTGGTCTGGGGTTACTGGACAGAAAGAAAATCAAATCTTTCTCATTTGTGTGCACAACTACACTGATCGACTGATCAAGGGGGAAAAGTGGAGCATTTAAAAGGAAACAAAGCCTTGAATGAGGGTCGTTTATTCCAACGCGTCTGGCTGCAGCACCAGTGTTCACAGGCTGGTCACACTACATCACACACAGCTGCACTGACCCTTTTGGAGGCAATCTGGGATTCAGCAACAGTTGGGACCCATGAGCTCTGATTTTCAAATCTGCACTATTTTTTATTTTACATTCAGGTTTTGTTTAATTGTGATTATGTCTATTATGACTCAAATATCTCCCCATGAGTGATTTCATTTTTAAATAAGAGGCATCTGTGTTATAGATTTAGTTGTATTTGCTAGGAAATTATTAACTGCAAGGACACCAAAATGCTGCCAAAATTCCCAAAGAAGGTGGGGAAACCATGTTAACTGTAAAGTAAAACAAAGTGCAATGATTTGTTGATATCATAAACCAACATCTAATCCCCAACAGACTGCAGAAAACATGATCAAATGTTGAAACCTTTACCTGTGAGGGACATTCTCTCTAAGATGCTCTGAAGGTTTCCCACTCACGTGCACTGGCCTCTTTAGTGATATTGATTTTTACAGCCTGTTGACCATGCTCCAGCCATCTTTTGCAGCATTGCTGTCAACAAGATGAATATTCCATTCCCTGTAGTATCATTTTCAACAATAATACTTCTTCAATAATAATAAACTCTATATAACTCTGTATTAATTTAAGGGTAAACTATTAATTGGTAATATAAGCACATCTTTGTAATCAGTTCCTATTCACACTTTACACAGCTCTTTTTGGAATTGTGATTATATTTTTTTGTAATAAAATTTAAATATCCCCAGATTTTTTCAACAAAACAATTCCACAATGCTGACTTGTTATTAACCCCCTTGAAAAAGCTGTTTACAGTGGATTAAATTGTCAAATTGTCACAGAAAAATCTTAAATGAAAGCTTGTATTTGAACAGATTGTTCGGTTGTTAAATTGTAGGTCAAGGTTGATGGAATCTGGCCTGCTTTAAACTAATCAATACATCCCTCCAATCAAAAAGGCATCAATCCTCTTTACAGAGCTTGTTCATTTCACACAAGGGTCAGAAATAGAGGAAACCGAGGGGAAAAGAGGCAGATAAAACCAATTACAATGCAGGGAAAGGGACCAGCTGGAAAATTGTCTGTGTGTTGGTGAGTTTTATGGCTCGGTGAGTGCAAACGTCTAAGGTTCACTGATCAAACCATTACTCAGGCCCAAATGCACACATGCAGGCACAGTGATGAAAATAAATAAAATAGTTTTCAGGTTTGGTGTTCACTGAAAACTCACACACTATCTCTCCTCCTTTTGCATACAAACATTAGCATTCACACACACACACAGGTTTGGGCAGTAAACCTAATCTTCTTACTGATCACAAGGTTTGACTGTTGAAAGTTCAAAGTTCACATTGCTAACACGGGTGGACGATCAGAAACAGCAAAAGACAAGAGACAAAGCCATATAGGAAGAGACAAACACAGAATCACAGGCAGGAGGTTTTCTTTTTTCAGGATTTCACACATAACTTGAATTCTGATGACATTTGCTTCACCTCACAGCTTTCTGCGACATACTGACACTGGCTGAATATTTTTTCACATTTAAAGCTTTTCTGTCATGAGACAGCAGCAGCCCAATACTAATTTCTTACCTTTACCTTAAGTCCAACTGCTGGCGACAATTTGACATTGAATCTGCATGCCACAAACTGTAAGTAGATACCTGCGAACTGCTAACCTGTTTAGGGGGTTTTGTTTGGTACAAGTACTTGTTATGCGCCACAATTTCACAATTCAAGTCTGCTGTGCTGTGTGTGTTTGCCTTTCATTCTCCTATGTTTTCTTTGGCATGATTTTCTGTAGCTTGTGCCACAATAATTTGTCGGGTGAAAAATGACTTTGTTTTCTGGCAGTTTGTTGCAGAAAAAACTGTGTGAGTTACCGACTGCGCTTAAGTGGGCTTAAAGCTTTAGAATGACATTTTACATGTCATAAAGCGACATAATCACCAAATAACAACAGTTATGTGCCACTTTTACCTGTTTTGACTGGATCTTTGAGTATTCAAGCTACTTTTAGCACCTTTCAATCAAGTTACACTCCAAATGAGGTTGAATTTGTGTGTATTTTCACCTGCTTTGCTTTGAACTATAATAATTACAGCGCTGTTAACACAGTGGTTAGCTTACACATCTTAATGAAACATTCTTATCTAGCAAATTCTAGGCTAGGTTCGTTCTAAAACAAATTGCGACGTGTTGTCTGATCATATTCCCGTCTCAATCATGCCACATCAACCATGACATCCTCTCTTCTTTTATAGAGAGGAGTATGGAGGTGCTGAGTGGGCCCTGGGCAGATCTGGCTCTGCTCCTGCGGCAGACCCTCACGCTGTCACAGGGAGAGGCCGACAGCTTTCTGCCTCTGTGGCTGCTCGGCCTGCTGCTGTTCCTCTCTGTGTGTCTGCTGCTGCTGCAGCTCATCGTCTACTTCAGCTGGAAACTTAGACAAGGTGGACATGTACCACTAAATAAGCGGTGTGGTTTTTCTATGTGTCGCTAATGCCAAATAAGCGATGGAGGAGACAGAGTGTGAGGGAGGGCACTTGCGGGTTTTGATGTACCTCAAGCGTGAAAACCTGAAAACATGGGTTTTCTTTCATTTCCATCAGTGTGTTTTTGTTTAATCTAAACGTGGACCTGACCTCTTTGTCCTGCGTGCTGACAGAACACAGATGCAGATTCAGTCGTGGGTCCACTTTCACCATCTGCTCCTGCTCTGAGTGGATGGGAAAAGCAGCACACTCGTGTCAACTTAATGCATTCGGTTGGGACCATTTACATAAAAATGCACAGAAAATATCATTTACATTTTTCAAATAATGTAGATGAGAGAGAAACCTCTTCAAACTGATCGGGAATCAAATAGTGATGCTGTCGGTGGTACAGAAACAAAATGTCTATGTTGTTTAATATTTGTAAGAAAACCATGTGTGTTTGTGCTTCTGAGAAAGACAGACAGTGGTTTATCTGTAATATACCACAAATGGTCATTTTAGTTACAATGTGCCTTGAGCTTATGATGTAACCCTAGCTGCCCTCTCTCAGTTTGTTTCTTTGAAATATTTAGCCTCCGCTGCCGAAAAGCGGCAATAACGAAGCATGAGAGACGTTTAAGTTATTAATTTAGGATTCAAGGGCAACATGGCAATTTAATATCAAATATTAAAAAACATCTCTAAATTTCCAGAGGGATACTTTTATCAGCTTTGCATCTGGTGCACGCAGTGAATGTCTGATGGTGAAAATGTGTGCCGTCACATAAATCATAAAAGTTATTTTAAATTTTTTACGTAACTGCTAAAAGCACAATGTGAAAAAACAGCTGTAAAAATATCTCAGCTTTAGGCTGTTGCAGTAACACTGTCCTTAAAGCTCTACCATGTCTGAGGAGCCAGCTTTTACATGTGCAGTTTGTCCTTTACCACTCATTAAACTACAGTCTGTTTGGTCTGTATTGATATATCCCTTTTTTCCCCGCCTTTGATCCCCAGCTGAGGTTAACCTGTCTCGCCTTCCTGAGGACATAAGCGCCATCCACAGGCAGACGCACGGACACCAGAGTCTGAGGACCAGAGGCTTTGGCTGTCATTCCTACACCTGACAGGAGGCAGACAGAAACGGACACATTCAAACAGTGTCAAACCATTAACTGTGACAAAAACTGTTGGGCAAATCAGCAACCATAAAGACTGATTTTACTGTTGTTTTCTTGACACTTCATTGGAACAGAAGAGAGCGGATAACTTTTTCCAAATCTTTTTCTATGTCTATTTATTGTTACTTTCTTATTTAATATTTGGAAAAACCAGTTCAATCTTATATATTGTCATTATAGTAGACAATTCTGAACACGATTCATTATCAGAATTAAACTCATTTACAGCATACGGACTTATAAATGAAAAGCGTATGAGGAAATAAAGTGACTGGAGAGTTTTCAGAACAATCCTTTATTTAAACAGTGTTACACAGGGGAGGAGGAGTGGATGTGTGTGAGGAAACAATGCAATTAAGCAGCTAGACAACAAAAACCCAGCAGTGATCACTGGTTAGCAATCAGGGAGCAAAGCGGCAGCGGGACTGTTTTCCAATCATAAATTTTAGTTTGAGTTTTACTTGAGATGAAATACAAAATTGTGCTGGTTTCTCCTCAGAGTGTGGAACACGGCCTGAGATTTCAGTGTCAAGAGCATGCTGAACCCCGATTACAATCAGCTTTTTATAGTGCAACATCATCAGTGCAGCACAGTGATGTCACAATGTTGAGATCCCTGACAGTTTAAAAATAAGAAAAGTTTTTAAATCAGCTGGCATTGAATCTGTCATCCATTGCCATGGTAACCCTGAAAACCTTCAACCTCAGAAAGTGTGTAATGCTTCTTTTTTTTTTTTTTTTTTCTATAAAAGTCTTTTTTAAACCTACAACAGCCAATAATTTGAATAATTTTTTCCCGCAGTCAGCATCATACGAAAATTTATAAGAGAAAAAAAAACACTTTGGAAAACTCCACCTGACCGCCACTTTGCTCCCGTAATCGGTTAAGAGAGCCCAGAACCCCGAACAACGATCAACCCTGGCGCTGAAACAGAACCGGTGGCAGAAATGTGTGTTTGTAGTGGTGTTTCTGCATTCAAAGAAAGAAAGGTGAGAAAAATCACAAAATATTCAACAGGTTGTACAATGATTCCCACATGTGAACAAGTAAAACAGTTTCACAGAGAATTTACAAGAAACGAAGGATATTTATCATTGTTGCTGTGGACTTTGTGAATTTTTTTTAAATATTTCAATCTGAGAGCAAAAGCCTCTAAAGCTGCCATGTGTTTACATTTTTAATGGTTCAGCTGCTTTATTACTCTGGAAGCTTCCCCCTCTTGGAATGTCATTGATCTGCATAGTAGTCTGACCGGTGTTTCTGCTCATAAAAAGACCGGTTGAACTCCAAGCTCGCTAAATTGAGACGGATCTAAAATGAAGAGGTGCATGCAAAAACACCCCACGTGTCACAGATTATTAGGTAAAAAGAGAAAAAATTAAATTTCCAGTCTGATGACAGTGTTTTAATATAGACTGGCCTTTATGGAATGTATTTGGTATACTATGGCACATCTACGCTCATGATAGAGATCATTTCCAGAAGTTTATTCCTTTGCCTTTTGCTGCTCACAGGAAAAATCCCTGCTGGTTAACTGCATTCAACCAAGCATCTTGTTCTGACCCATTTAGTACCAACGATAAATATACAAAGTCACATTTCACTGAGGAATTCTGCTGAACATTTCAGTAAAGAACTCATACACTGAATAAACCACATCACAATTCCTTTTAGGGGTTTTTCAAGGGCACTTCATACCCTCAGATAATCTTCCCTTTAAACTGCATTTTACCGTTGTGTTACTCCGTAGTGTAATATGTATAATGTCATACATCAGGAACCGTTCAAAAACAAAGAATGCAGCAGAATATTTGGTTGTAGTAGGGCAGTTGCAACACAGCCAGCGCCGTTTCATTTTACCTAGTTATGCTGCGCAAGCTGAGATAAGCCGTTACCCACACACTCTCAAACCAATCCACACAGCAGCGGCTCATCCAGACACGCTCTCAGATAATATTGCAAGATTTAAAAAAATTGTGAAACATGTAAAATGAGACCCATCTAATATAGAGTCCAACAGGCGTTGTTGGTATTGTGCCTACTCGGGTAAGACAGGAAGCAGAAGCAGTGGTGAACTGTGACAGCTGGACAGGCTGCAGCTGGTGGACACGTGGAAATAGTGTCAGGTGGAATCTGAGATAGATCTGGATTCAAGTCGTTTTCATTTTGGTACCTCTGTTGGTCGTAGCACGAAACTCGTTTATGATCATTTAAGTGAAACAGTGGTACTTAAATATGTATGCAACAGAAAAGGAAAAAGCTTAAATTTTACATTTCCACAGAGTACGGCCAACACAAATTTATTTTCATGTCTTTTTCATTCCCATGTTGTTTGGTGGCACTCTCCCAATTAACTTACAGTTTACTGACTGTGTCTCCCAATCAAAGTTTTTTTCCTTTCACCCTCTGAGGCCCAAAAGGAACAGTCAGTGCTCTACAGAGGAGGTTTAGCTGTCAAAATGCTGCCATTCCCATATAACCCTCATTTTTCTGTACAGAGTTATAAAGACCAGCTTCAAAGTTTTTTCATTTTCAGTTCAAGTTCATGCTGTAGTAATAAAAACTTATTTTTAAAATCATGTAAAAACTGCATCAGATTTGGCATCTTGAGTTTAATTATTGTAAGACCCACTGACCCTCTCTCTGTTCTTATTGTAAATACCTAAATGCTCCCTCCTGTTGGAGCTCAGGGTAACTCAACGGAAAATGAAGTCACTTAGCTGCTGGTCACACAAACGGAATATTGCGAATAGCAAATGTAATTACAGGGGAAAAAAAGATGCAAAGATACAAAATAAAAAATCCTAGATGATTTTACTGTCTAACAGCAATATTTTAATTTACAGCTCCCTCTTTTGTGTAACTATTAAGTGAAAATGTGACACAGCTTGCTTCTACAACTCACCAGAATGTGTTAAAATAAGTGTGGAACAGTAAAAAGTAAACATTTTATTTAGGGGTGAATTCTATTATATTCCGTTTAATTTACATTATAATGAAGTGATGGGGGGAGCTGTAATTTAACTTTTTTCTTAAAAAAAGGAATGCACCAAAAAATACTTTTTTCTTACGCAACAAAATCAAAGTGTTGTCAAATATCCTGATCAAAACGTTGTTTGTATTTACTGAAAAAGCTCTTTGCTTTGACAGTGGAGGTTCCCCAGTAGTGCCGCTGAAACGGTGACTAGAAGGACCAAATAATTATCCCTGGCTTTGCATCTCATCTTCATCAGTTATCGGTTCATCCCGAGTTTTGTTTTTGCCAAACGTGACACACGTTCTATTCTTGCTCTTTTTGTAGAACAGTTAATGAAAAACTCTAGTTTAAAAAAAAAAAAGAAAAGCTACAAATGTTAAACTAGTAAAGTGGTTCTTTTTGTTCCCTCGGAAATAGTGAGGATATTATTTTTATTTTTCTTAGTTTTTGCAGTGAGGGACTGAAATGCACCAAAGACGTGTGAAAAAGACCATCTGGGATGAGAGTGACAACTTCGATCCCACTGCCTGAACCCTTCTGCTCTCCCTGTTCTTCAGCTCCTCTTCTTCTTCTCCCCTTCTGTCAGTTAAGTTGCTGCTGAGTGATGAAGATCGTTTGTTGTCAAAAGGGAAAACAGTCACGATGGGCCTTTCAGCTCTGGGAAAATAGATGGAAGGCAATCAGCCAGCTGAACTGTGAAGAGCATGGTTGTGGTTTCCTTCTACAACCCCCACGCCATCTTAGCTGCAAACCTCTCAGATTAGATAAAGACTTTCTGTTACTATTATTACCTGAGTTCAGTCAATCCTCCTCCTCAGCCAGTTCAGTTTCTTTATGAACCACCACTCTGGTAACAGACATGTCAGGATGTTGCTCTTTGGCCTCCTTAATGGCCTGTGCCAGTGCCTGCAGTACCGGGAGCCATACACATGGTGGCAGCACCGAGCAGAGCAGGCAGTGGAGGGGAAGGAGGGGAAGATGGTGACATTAAACGAAAAATGAAATAAGAAGCAGAAAAAAAAGACAGGAATGCTGGATTTACAATGCACCATTTTACTTCCTGGAGTTAGGAAACATCTAAAAGGAGGGCAGACTGAGTAAAATGGCCTTTTCTAACACAACGTGATGCGCATCGGTTGTTTTAGCGTAAATCCAGCAAAATTAGAAAAAACAGGCAACTTAGACAAAAACAGTGAAGCAACAATCATGCAGACTAAGTCCTTCTAAGAGATTAATATTTACTGTTAAACTTTTTTTTAGAATGGGAAATAAAGCATTTTACTCTATATATTCCCACCTTAAAAGTCATATACATCAAAATAGATCCCATTACAAACAAATCTTCGCTGCCTCCCCCCACCCCTCATAAAAGACAAGCTGCTTCTTAATTCTTAAATGCTTGTTAAACACCATCGGGACAGCATCCCATTTCATACCAGTCTTTCCACTTTTAGAGCAGATGTGGCTGGAAAATAGGGATGGCAAACTGGTTCTACTATATACTATTAGTTAACTAAGGTGAAGGTGTGGATCCTCAAATCAAAAATGAAATCACATTATTAAAAAATCAACTTTTGCGTAAAGAAAAAATAACATGAATTTTGATTTGAGGTCACTGTATAAGACAAAGACAGTACAACAAACAAACCAGTGAAAATGTGCCCCCCCAAAAAAAATTCTAAAAAGGTTAAGCAGTTTTCTAGAAGCAATTGTGTATGAGTGAAAGAGGCAGCAGGTGTCAATGTGTGGAATCTGGATGGGACTGATGGCTTGTAGGCAGGATTCTCAAATAAAATGTGCATGCTAACTGAAAACAACATGACAGACATGTCACCAGGCGTCTAGCTTTCCCCCCCATCCATCATTAAAAATATGGAAAGTTTGAACAACCGACTGGAAAAGTGACTCTTGACTACCCGTTTGCACCACCCACGGACAAAGCTGCCCATCAACCAAGCAGCTCAAAAAGCAGGGAAAAGGCAGAGAACTGCTGAAAACTGACCTGATCGTGGTCGATGTCGCAGTCGCCGGTGATTACGATGCGCTTTTCAATCCTCGTCTCGGACAGTCCGCCCTTTAATGTCTGCAACAAAGGTCACAGAAATGTGACTTTGAGCAGTAGCAGCTGATGGTGCTCACAGATATGTCAGAAAAACACAGAAATGTCTCTCAATCAAATGGTAAATACTCATATTAAGCTAGCTTGATGATACTTGATGTGGAGACGTAGCTATTAAAAGAAGACAGAAAAGAACCGTTGTTCATTTTGTAATGTCATGTTGATTAGTAGAATGTGTGTTACCGCACCTTGGTGATGTGTGTTGTTGTGGTGGTACACAGAGACTCCGAGGTGATTGTCTGAGCGGTCATCAACACTCCAGGCTCGCCGTCACCATTTCCATCCAGCTATCAACAGGAGCACCAAAAGAGATGGTCAGCTCTTCATCTCCACTGCCTTTTGGGAGATGTCTGTAGCTTTAAAGAACAATTTTCTGCAGAACCCTGTTCCTCTACAAGAACTTCTTCCATGGAGCTGAAGGAATGACTGATGGTGCCATGCACTGTTGCTAGGAAGGAAATGCTTTGGAATTTAGCATGAATCACCTCTTAGATTATGTTAAAGCTGGATGTTTTACACATATATTATTAGACAAATAAATGCTGACAGAGGAGAGGGGGGGGGGAAGCTCTCTGTGCTTCTTAGATGTGCACCTGTGCGGCCTCGTATGTGATGGTCTTGGTTTCCGTATGAACGATGGGCACTTCTTTTGTAGCTATCTCAGTTTTCTGGGCGGCAAACGTGTCTGATATAGTCACCATTTCTGTCTTTACCACGGGCGGCTGGGGAAGGAGGAGAGACAGCAGTGAGGGGGGGAAAGGAAGTTAGTATTTCAAGTCTGAGATTGAATCAAGTGCCTTTATACCAATGGCATTTCATTTAACTCCAAGCTCAACTTTTTTTAACTGTTTAACACCGCTCAATTCTTATGAACAATAAACAGCACTGACTACTGAAATTTACATGCATAAAACACAGTAAATAAGAGCGCATGCAAAAAAAAGCTGTGCACCAAAGGCAAGAGCAGTCAAACTCAGGCGACATCGTGCGAGAGCATCTACTTATCGCATCAGAGCACACACACAGCTAGAGCGGCAGCGCGACCACAGAAATGTCTTTGGTGTCAACATGCAACTCAAAAAATGACACGGCACAGAGATGCATAATACATGAGTCCACATTACCGGCGGCACTCAAGTGACCGTCACACACACACTCACGCAAACTCACAGAACAGCTATTGAAATGTAAACAAGGTGACATTCAGATGAATACGTGGCATTCCCAAAGTGGTTGGCATTGATGGTTTCCACAAATGCAAAGGGAAGCATCACTGCCAAACCCACTGACACACACACACACACACACACACACACACATACAGCAAAACATGAAAAGAAGGAGCATGCAAAACAAAAAACATACATCTAAAAGCATCATGCATTACCCACTTAGGCCCCATTTACTTCACAACACCAAAGCACAACATAAGGACAACGAAACACCACACTGAGTGGGATGAAGGCAAATGTAGAATTAAAGACTGAATTTATGTATGGGGAGGTGACTTGACATGAACGACGACACACCAAAAATGCTGGTGGCAAATTTGAATCTTTAAACACTCTTTGTATGTAGGAGTTTTTCTAATGTCACAAAAGTGTTCCTTTAAGCCTAATAACACGGGAAGAAGATGAGTGTGAGGATGTACATGGGGCTTAAATATTCACGCAAGCAGGAAGAGAACCAGCACTGTGAAAAGCAGCGGGGGGGAAAGTGGGTGTTTCTACAGCCGGCAGGAGGGGTCAGACCCCCGAGAGGCTCCGCGGTCGACCCAGTGAAGACTTTACCTCAGAGCAACAAATAACCTGTGGCCGTGGTTCTGCTTCAGCCAGTGAGGCTTCTCCGTTCATTTTGGGTTCCTCCTCTTCATTTATAGGATCAGTCGCTGCAATGGGGCTGATGGGAACTTCATCCGGTGTCAGCATCGGATCCTCTGTGCTTTCCTCCGTCTCACGCTCACCTTCCTTCTCCTCCTCTTCATGGCTCCTCTTCTCTGGCTCTGTGTCGTCCTTTCTGGACTCCTCCCGGCTTGCCTCCTCAGCAGGCTGGCTAACCTCAGCTGGAAGCGAAGGGGTTTCTGGAGCTGGCACCTCCTGCTCCTTCCTCGTGTCATCCTCTTCTTTCTCCTGTTCCTCTTCCTCTTCCTTCTCTTCTGGTATTTGTGGATGACAAATGGTCACGTGGACGTTGGGATGGTACTCTGCCTCTTCTTCACTCTCGCTCTCGGATGACACGCTCTCCTGCTTGGTCTGCTTCGGCTCCTCCACTGGCACTACTTCCTCTTCAACTCTCACGTTCTGTTCGTGCGTTTCCTGCTCTGCAGGCGGGCCGGCAGGAGGACCGGCTGTAACCGTGACAACTCCAGGTTTGGCCGCCCTGGAAACCTCTTGGATGACAACAGTTTCCTCGATTTCAACTTCGGTCGTCTATACTCACGCACATACACAGGCACGCATGCACACGTCGTCCACAAGTTCACACAAGTGAGGCAAACACACATACACAACAAACGCATGGGGGGGGAAACAAAAACAAAAGCAGAAGATGATCATTAAACATAAAGTTGAAAAATATACAACAAATAAAAATAAACTGATACAAAAAATCAACACCAGGATAAAAAAGATGGAGGATCAACTGTGGATGAAAGGGCATGAAGGAGTTACAGGATCAAGTTGGAGAGCAAAAAAATGAACAATGAGAAAACAGATGAGGGTGAGAACAAGAGCTGAAAACGATGACGACACAAAGGAAGCGAGGGGCGACACACATCAGGAATGGAGGGCTGGAAGGACTGCAGAATAAGTTAGGAGCACCTTTGCAGGTTCTTTGGGATCAGAGCTGGTGTTTTCAGTTGAAGCTGCTTCTGTTTGTGGTTCGCTGACCTGCGTGACAGAGAAGTTGCCATGACGTCATCAGTCACACACACACACAACAGTAACATCATCGCTGTTAGCAGTTCGAAACACTGGGATGCTTGTTTTCAAAGC